GTCGCCGTGTAATGGCAAGATATAGGTGTGTCATAATAGTGACTGCTGGTTCTAACAGTATGCCAGTCTAAACAGTACTAACATAGTGCTGGAGATGTCACCAGAATGGTTGCATGAATCACAGTCACTTACTTCTCTCACACATCACTCCATGAAAACCCGGCCGACACTTGCAAACGGAAGACCCGACGTCGCACTCTCCGCCGTTCAAGCACGAGCAGTGAATGGAACAATTCACTCCAGAGTAGCCAAACGCACACACTGTGTATGCATGCATGCACGCACCAGAAGAACACAGCAGAGGCGCAAATCATCATTCAGCCACAACAAAACAGAAACAAAACAAATCCTGAAGGTTTAACAGGCAGCACACATGCACCAAAGTCACGTATAAACGCCGCATTACCAAGCAACACAAGCCCACCTTTTGAAAGACTTAAAAGTTAAATCAAGCTGTAATAATATCACTTTCAAACCAATGCACGCTCCTATGGCACTTCTTAAATTTTCCAACTCCGTAGGGTGTTTACAGACGGGCGTGAAAAGCTACACACTCAGACATGTTTCCTTGGCTTCATGGCTTGACAAGTTACATTGGACAAGTTGCCTTGGTTTTGTCATGACCCGAATTCGACTCGTCGTGAAAGCGACCACGCATTGAGTTCAGCAGCCCAAAGCTGGGCTCCGAGAAACTTCTAGAGTTCTGTAAGAACCATGATTAGTCCTGCGAAGGATTTGGCACTTTCGCTAGTTGAGCAGTCATGGCTTACAACTCGGGGCCCAGAGCAGCAAAGTGTGGTCGTACGTCGGCCACACCTTCCGTACAAGCCGTCAGCATTGAACGCACTACACTGTTGAGCTTGAGGGGGCCACGCTTAGTCCTGCAAAGGAGCTGATACCCTTGTAAGTCGAGCAAGAATGGCACCTCTTCTCACGTCGTACAACGCAAAGAGTCCTGAAGTGCTTCTTGTACTGCGGACTCCGTATCCCTTTTTGGGAGAGGACACGGCTTGGCCGTCTGGCACCTAACCCTACGGGGAGACGCAGAGGGAAGGGCCTATGGGCATGGGAGATGAAGGCGGCGCAAAACAAGGCCGACCGTTGTACGAAGGCGGCGTCCTCCAGGCCACCCGTCAGCCGAAGGTAGTTCATGCGTACGAAGAGAGGCGTCGCACGAAGACGCCTCGGAACCCAATTTGCTATACTTTGACTTGGGTGAGCTAGCTCCCCGGAATACTCTTCCATATATCCATTACCCTATCATTATATCACAAATTATACTTGTCTGAAATCACATAAAAGCCGCCGTCCCTCAATGAAATAAAGTATCTTTTGACCGCTCTCCTTCAACCCTCGACTGCCTTGTGTGAGCCGAAGAACAGGTGAGCTACTTATCTGCTTGAGTCGACTATATTGGTTGACTGCCTGGTGCCACTAGATGGATCACCGGCCATGACAATTTCATGGCTTGAAAAGTTACTCACTCGGACACGTTTCCTTGGCTTCATGGCTTGAAAAGTTACTCACTCGGACAAATTTCCTTAGTTTCATGGCTTGAAAAGTTACATCGGACAAGTTGCCTTGGTTTCATGGCTTGAAAAGTTACACTGGACAAGTTGCCTTGGTTTCATGATTGGCGTGGCATGGGCGGCGTTTCCGCTGATCCCGTTGTTCGGGGACACCATTCCCAGCGCAGTGGTTCCCACTGGCAACGGTTTTCCAGGCGTGAAATGATGATTTCCTGTACTTGCTGACTGGTGAACACTGGCTTCTTGTGTTGGGCATGAATAATTCGTCTCAGGGCATGAATAATTAGTCTCAGCAGTCTGGCATTCACATCCATAGAAGGTGGTGGTGCTCCTATGGATGGGGAAAACTCGTCCTGCAGGCGAGTCTCACACGAACCATGACTTTTTCTGCCATCCACATCACATCCATGGGGGGGGGGTCCTAAAATAAAATAAGAAAAGCAGACCCCAGGATCTCACACGAACCGTGAATTTTTCTGGCATCGGCAACGCCGTGATTCTTGTGTTAGGCATGAATGTCAATGAGCTTCTAGTAAACAAGTCTCTGTGTGTAGGCCGCTCTCGATCAGCACTGGCAACGCAGGAAAGAACGGAGCGTACGGCGAACAGAAGGAACAGGTTGTGGTGCCCCCCCCCTGACATCCTGCATTCACAATGGCAAAGACCATGGATTTTCCACATGCACAGCGAGTACCGTACTTTACTGGTTACAAGTCGACCTTTTAATGACCTAAAAACCAACCTAAAAGGGGGTAATCGACTTACAACCCGGGGTATAACTGCCCCTAAAAATCAGTAACTTGAGGCCCCAGGTTTGGACGTCGACTTATAACCGGGGTCGGCTTGCAACCGGTAAATATGGCATGTTACTGAACCTTGTACAAAGACTGTGAAGAAATTAAGACACGGTTGAGTGGAACCGCACATTCATCCACCGTAGGAATTACCTTGACACTTGGCTCCAGCAAAGTTTGGTGAGCACTTGCAATATCCGTTCAAAGTGTTGCAAACACCAGCATTCTTGCAGGCGCACGGATTCCCTACGTTAGATGGATACACAGAAAGATTGATAGATAAACGGACAGAAATATTGATAACTGAACAGACCGAAGGTATCTTATGTGCTTTCTTGCCTTCAATGTTGGCAGGAAAGGTGTAATGCTGATGAGAGTGCAGAGTAAATAGAGAGTGCCATCCATGTACGGGCAAGTGTAACGGGGCCACAACAAAAAGGAACATTGTTCCACTGGGTATGGATGTTTGCTTTCAACTATTATATATAGCATCAAGAAAAGCAAGAGAATGCAAAGGAGAACACATCACGAGAAAACGGGCATTCCCATGACGAAAACTTACTGTTTATAGGGGCTGTTGTTGGCATGGCTGTCGGAGTGGTTGTTGGTGTGGTTGTTGGTGTAGTTGTTGGTGTAGTTGTTGGTGTGGTTGTTGGTGTAGTTGTTGGTGTAGTTGTTGGTGTAGTTGTTGGTGTGGTTGTTGGAGTGGTTGTTGGTGTAGTCGTTGGTGTGGTTGTCGGAGTGGTTGTCGGAGTGGTCGTTGGTGTGGTTGTCGGAGTGGTTGTTGGTGTGGTTGTTGGTGTGGTTGTTGGTGCAGTCGTTGGATTTACACAAGCTGTAAAAGCAGAGAGGCAAAAGCAGTCGAGACAGTTGTGAAGAGAAAAAGAAAACATGCAGACATAAAGACATGTACATATCGCAGTTGTATCAAGACACTTCCAGGAGCACACACAGGCACGCCTACACGAGCGACTGTGCAGTCATTCAAAGTGGGGAGCTGAAGATGATTACACACCAACTGAACTGTAGCCCGTACATCTTGAAGAAGTCAAGAGCGCCAGTTGCTGTGCAATTCTGCACCTTACCATGACCCCACTTTCAATGTAAATTCCTCAACTCAATTTGAGCTGTCCTGAGTACATGTGCGGAGTTGCAAACTCTGGCTTTTATGTACATTGGGTAGTAGTGCATTGTCCCCGAACACCTTCCCCTCCCCTCCCCCCCCCCCCCCCCCTTTCCTCTCCCCACCCCTCTCCCATTCCAATCCACCCCCCTCCCCCTTTCCTCTCCCCTCCCCTCCCCCCCCCTTTCCTCTCCCCCCCCTCTCCCATTCCAATCCACCCCCCCCCCCCTCCTCTCCCAAACACAATGCCATGCAGTCTGTCAGAATAAGTTATAGAATGCCTAGCTGTTGCCGTCACAACATGTAATATGCAGCCTTCACAAAAAGTGCATGAAACGAGAGAGTGCAGATCGAATGGCTTGCCGACGCAGTGCAGATTGAATGGGTTGTCGACGTAGTGCAGATCGAATGGCTTGGCGACGCAGTTAAGATCCGGGATTACACCAGTGGTGTAATGCACGTGAGCAGGATCCAAGCAGGTCTCCAGCTGCAGAACTGCGGCTGAGTTGTATGCACTACACCATTTCCCCGTCGTGTATTCGCCTCAAGTATCATGCAAGGTAGGAGTCTGGTCATGACACACACGCGCATAAGGAAAGCACACACATGCTGGTTTTCGTCCACTCTTGGTCTTGAGCACAATACACGGTATGGATTACCGGGGCGTGGGAAGGTATTCGACATTGGCACAGCCATAAAAAGGTATTCCACATTGGCACAGCCATAAAAAGAGGCAGGGTCCGGGGGCATCACCCGGGAATGCTTTGGAAAATTGGGCCCAAATAGCCCATATGACAGTGAAATTACTGGTGCGGCTTTGGCCGCACCGGTTCCGATGCTCCTGTGTTAACCAGACTGCTTACCTTTCTCGCAGTGAATGCCGCTTCGGTTCTCCGGGCACAAGCACTCATAGCCACTTGGATTGTACGCTTCCACGCACACGCCGCCTGCCTGACATGGATCGTCAAAAAAAAACACACAATACCCTGCCAGACAAAGTACACACACACACACACACACACACACACACAGTACGAGCAGCAAGCGCTTTTCAGACCAATTCCATTGGCAGGTATGTACAGGCAAGCTACATCTACATGTATATGTGCTCTCACAAAGTCTTCCATCACCATGAGCTAACCAAGAGAGAACTTTGTGAACATACCAGTATTCGCATTTTGTATTAATTTTATTTTTTCATATTTTTCCCTTCACATGTGTATGAGTTATGAGCAATTGTCCACCATCGTAACAAGATAACACGCGGTCAGCAAGGGCAAGAAATCGGCACCAAACTACTACACTGTACTGAGACATTTCAACGACCTAACACCTTCCATGTTGTAAGGCACTTGGTAAGTGCGTCTGAGATGTGTTGGAACTATATGTAGGTGTTAGATGTCTGGGTGCGAGGGCCGTTGGACTTAGCGTAAACAATAAAATACTATGTCTATTATGTCCGTGATCTTCATACTTTTTTGAAGGCCAGAACCTGATTGCTGATCTTTTCGAAATGGAATATAACGCGCTGTAATGCGTGTGGTACGTGCATGAAAACGTGCGTATGCCACGGTGGTCACTATTCGGACCTTGCACTGTAGTCCCCGTTCTTGTATGACATTAACCCGACTGCTGCATGGACGATAAGTGCTGCGAATAGTGATGATGCACCCTGGCCTGAGTAGCTCGCTTGGCTAATTGAAAGTCTGCCGACCTGGGCCACATTATGTTGCTAATACATGCACAACCCCAGTCACAGCGCACGAGTTGGTTGAGTTTGGCCGTCAGGAGGCCAGCGCAAGGTATCCGGGGCGCGGGTCTGATTCCAGCGAGGGGCAATGTGGTACCCCGCAGCGCAAGGGTAGCGTGATACCCTAAGCCAACGTGCGTGCTGCATGAGTAGCGTGATACTCGCCGAGCGCTTTTGCTGTTGCCTAGCAACGCGTTTCTGTCTTTCCTGGGCCCCCAAATGCATGTTGGGTGGCCCTGCGCATGACTGCACGTTGTCATAGCAACCTTGGAAATCTCAAGCCGGTTACCAACAAGCTAGGAATCAGACCAAGCCGCCGAATGCCCCCAAATTCTGCGTTGGTCAGCCCAATGACCTTAGTGTGGTATTCAAGCGCTTCAGCTACATGTACGTAGCGTGCCATTCGTATGGTTGTTTTCCCTTAGTGACACTGATAAGGGTTTGAATCGCATGTAGTCGGCAAAAGCAATGGGTGGCATGATGCCTCAGGTGGGAGCTATAGCACAGCAACTGAGGGTGCAGGTAACTTATCATAAGTATCAGAGGCGTGCGTGCACAGTCAGTGCTAGAACGTGAGTGCATACGTCCGCGAATGGGCGTACCAGCGTGTGCGCAGCGTGTGTACCTGCATGCGTGCTTGCGCGGTGTCAGACTGCGGGTGCGCGTACGCGTGCATGCATATGTGTGTGCATGCGTGGGGGTGTGCGTGCGTGTGTATGCGGGTGCGTGTGTGTGGGTGTGGCTGTGCGCGCTTGCGCCAGCCCCCCGGGGCGCGGGTCTGATTCCAACGATGGGCAATGTGGTACCCCACAGCACAAGGGTAGCGTGATACCCTACGCAGCACAAGGGTAGCGTGATACCCTACGCAGCACAAGGGTAGCGTGATACCCTACGCAGCACAAGGGTAGCGTGATACCCTACGCAGCACAAGGGTAGCGTGATACCCTACGCAGCACAGGGTAGCGTGATACCCTACGCAGCACAGGGTAGCGTGATACCCTACGCAGCACAAGGGTAGCGTGATACCCTACGCAGCACAAGGGTAGCGTGATACCCTACGCCAACGTGCGCGCTGCATGAGTAGCGTGATACTCACCAAGCGCTTTTGCTGTTGCCTAGCAACGCGTTTCTGTCTTTCCTGGGCCCCCAAATGCATGTTGGGTGGCCCTGCGCATGACTGCACGTTGTCATAGCAACCTTGGAAATCTCAAGCCGGTTACCAACAAGCTAGGAATCAGACCAAGCCGCCGAATGCCCCCAAATTCCGCGTTGGTCAGCTGAATGACCTTAGAATGGTATTCAAGCGCTTCAGCTACATGCATGTAGTTCGAATGCAGGCCATTCGTATGTTTGTATTCCCTTAGTGACAATGATAAGGGTTTGAATCGCATGCAGTCGCAAAGGCTATGGGTGGCATGGTGCCATAGGTGAGAGCAATAGCACCGCAACTAAGTGGAGCAGATAGCTTCTCATAAGTATCAGAAGCGTGCGTGCACAGTCAGTGCTAGAACGTGAGTGCGTGCGTCCGCGAGTGGGCGTACCAGCGGGTGCGCAGCGTGTGTGCATGCGTGCATGCTTGCACGGTGTCAGAGTGCGGGTGCGCGTACGCATGCGTGTGTGCATGCATGTGGGTGTGCGCGTGCGTGCGTGCGTGTGTATGTGTATGCGGGTGTGTGTATGTGGCTGTGCGCGCTTGCGCGCCTGCGGACGGTGAACAGTTACTTTCCACAGCAGACATAGTGCTTGCAGCAGGCACTTCACCATCTGCTGAGTTTCATGATCTCGGATTCGGTGAAGCCGCTCAATGCTCCTGTGGTTGCGGGTCCGGCTCTGAGGCCGTGCAGTGGATACTGGTTCGGTGGGTACCCTGGGCTGCTCAGGAGCTGACGGATTAGACGTGTGAGTCTTTGTGCAGCCAGGAAATTGCCACAGCTTTCGATGACCAGTGGTCTATTGGGCAGGTTGGGGCGTCTGGAGAGATAGGTATGCATGGCTCTGACCGGGCAAACCGTTGAGTTGGTGGTTGTGAGCCGGACGGAGTGACCCTTGCCGAGTTGGTCGGTCTTGGACTTCTTGATTGTGACCTGTATGGCCTGCGGCGTGATGGAGAGGTCATTTGTTCGGAGGCCCCCGTCTGACATAGTTGTGGCGGTTGTGGAAGTGTATTCGCTTGCCCGGAGACAGGCGAAGAAGCCCAGGCAAATGGCTGCCCATGCCATGGCTCGGTCGGTAGCGTTGAGATTAGACCTAATCAGGGCGTTGCGCATAGTTGCCATGTGAGGCCGGAGGATTGGCTTGCTGGCGTTCTTAGTTCGGTTGTCCTGTGCGCGTGCCACTCCTTTAACTGCGAGGTCCCCTCTTCGCGAAGAGAGATCTTTGCCGTTTTCTTTGGCAATTGCCCGGATCGCCGACACATACAAGCGGACGGTTGACGCGGCATGTTGACGTGCCAGGTAGGCTACAAACGCTAGCATGATGGTGTCTGTAATCACCTTGGTGCCGACTAGTTTGCAGAATTGGTGCAGTCGTTTCCAGGCTGTCGCGCATGTGGCGCTCAGGCACCACAACATCAACAGAGACTCGACCAGCCCGCTGTGCTGCTGTTGCTGCTGCTACTGTTGGGAGTGTTGGCTGTGCACGTGGAGGTACCACTGGTTGCAGACCCATCGATGTGGTCAAATGGCTGTGCGCGTTCAATATGTAAAGCCACACGGCGACGCTCACCGCCATACTTGCGCTCTAGCAACTTCTTAGCTGCGTCATAGGCTGATGGTGACGGTAGCAAATCGCTCGATGGCTGTCAGTGCTTCTCCTGCCAAATACTGCCTCAATTGCAACAGCTTGTACTGAGGGGTGGCGGGTGCACTATCTACACATGCCATGAAAGCTTCTCGGAATGACTCAAACGTACGTTTGTCACCGCTGAATATCGGTATGCCAACTCGTTGTAGCTGCTTCCATGGCTCTGCACGAGCCTGGTTTTGTTGCATTTGAGGTAGCCCTGTTGCATACATTTGATTTCCAATATTGGATGGTGTTGCATAACCCTTGGCTGTTGCATGTACCCGGAAGACATCTGCGGTTGGTCGGTATGCCCATATACATTAGTACCTTTAGAAGCCATTGACATTGTGCTCATAGGCGGTGCCTGCCACTGGATACATGACTGGGGCGCTGCCATTGACACTGGAGGCTTTCTGAAAGAGTGTGGATTAGCCTGTGTACGAACACTGTACTTAGTATTCACTGCAGTATTCACACTATGCGTACTGGTTGAGTATACAGAATTGCTTGGAAGAACATTGCTACTGCCAGTACTGCCCAAGGGTAATGTAGGACCAGTAACCTAGAACTACTACTAGATGTACTGCCTGAGGTAGTTGTGTTTGCAGTAGCAGGCCTAGCAAGAACACTCACACCATCATTGACACTTACTGTGGTACATGTGGTGGCACTTGTCATGGTCACTGTTGCAGAACCATCTGTATACTGGCCAATGTTGGACTGGACAGCGCTGGTGACCTCTGGGATGGTACCACCAGTACCAGTAGCTGTTGAAATTGAGTGCCCTGTTACTGCTGTGCGGTCATCCGTGTCAAAACATAGTTGTTGATCAGTTGCATTTGTTGCATCTCCACTGGCGGACCTGTTCATATCTCGTTGTTGTAGCGATCTGGCCAGCAATCCCGGTTGTGACTCAAACCCAAGTGGTCCTGCGGACAGTTCATTGCTGTAAACATGTCCTGGCCACCAGCCACCGACTTCCCTGGCTTCATCGCGGCACTGTTGATGCGAATTACCGGTATACTGCTGCGTTTCAGCTGAGGCGACTGGCACGCGGTGAGTTGTTCTTACAATTTCAAACGCCAAGTCCGTCGCTTCGTCAAATTGCCTCTGGAGTACTTCCAGCTCACTAATCATCTTATCCTTCTCTCTCGCATTGCTGAGCAGCTCTCTGCTTCGTATAAACCAGCTAGATCTGTGATCGTCCCTTCCGCCTTCCGCTGTCTCATATGATCTTTCGAGCTCGTTCATTTCTTTTTCGACATCGAAATAGCTCTCATCGTCCGTGCATCGCATCTGCACTCGCTGGGCTTTTACTATCAGCCCTTGTCTTGTCCTGCATTTTCCTGGCTCGGAGCGCAGAAATTGCAAAACAGTTGGATGCACGCAGCAGCACAGCTAGCAAGAGAAAGAGCCGTGGATGGGTTTGTTCCTGTTTTTGATGGCTGTGGCCATCCGTTGGCCCAACGGTCTCGTGTGAGTACGGCGTTTGTTTGTGCTGCCAGCTCGCGTCCGGCGTTTGTTTGTGCTGCCAGCTCGGGCCCGGTGTGCGAGTGAAACCGAACCGTGACAAAGGCTTTCGCTCTTTACTGCTATTGACTGGCTTTTCATACGATGCCTATTGATGTCTAGAGACATGCTGTCTAGCCTTCCCCTGGTACGCATTCACGGGGCTTTGTTGAAGTTCGTGCCGTGAACTGCCAAAGGGAATTGTTTGAATGGTGCTGGGGCAAGTGCGACATTACGGCGTCCCTGCAGCCGGCCTAATCGCGTTTGTTGCCACAACCGATTTTATCATGCTGTGTGCTATGTGCGATGTGTGGACAGTGACATGGACACGCATGGCCATTTAATAAATAAAAAAAGAGAATCAAGGAGCTACAAATTAGGCTAGAATATCCACCAACACCACCAGTTACTTTACAATCAACTCACGCAGTAACATTGTGCGACACTGACAAACAATACTGACGTTCTGCATGAGATGAATAGTGGATATTATAGCCTGACACTTGTAGCTCCTCGGTCCTCTTTTCTTCTTGTACATACTAAAAACTTTGGCTAACGCTCTGCGGATATGCCAGGAACAAACGCACTCGCACACGCACAATCATTGAGCCTTACTCTGTGTGCCACAACCTGCCATCTCTACGTCATCCACGTAACTCGGTGGCATTGACACGGAGAGTTTGATAATTTCGCCGCTCGCTGGTGGTGGAAATGTGCCAAAGGGACCAAGTGTAATGGGTGTCCATACTGAAGTGACATTGCTGTGTTACACGCAACAACAAAACAAAACAACAACAACAACAACAACAACAAGGAAATGAAATTTGCGCCAGAAAACTTATGGGTAAAACATCGTCTTGACTATTTTTAGGCAGTGAAGGAGAATGTAAAATGAGAAAATCATAAGAAACAGAAAGTGACTGCCACGGATAAGAAGAGCCTCTATATAGCACTTAGTTCTGCTTCTTTTGGTGCGCGACGGGCATTGTTCTACTATGCAACAATTGCACGTGTATTATGTCCGTGTTGCAAGCTTTGTACGCTGCTCGTGTATAGTAGTTACATTTATCGATAGCAATAGTTGCTGCTCCTTCCCCCTCCGTAGCGTAGTGTATGTAGTGTTATCTTGTATGGGTGTGTGTACCCATTGTGCATGCTTGTTCTCTTATTTGTACTCTTCTCTTTATAGATCTAGACTATCCGTTACGGTATCCCTTTGATGATTCATCCCATATCTAGATGTGTCATGCACTGTAGCGTACCCTCAAGTACTCTACTAGATCCCGATATGGAGTACCCGCGACTGCCTTGCTCTATTATGTTTTTCTTTCACTACTATTTGTGTTCTTGCACTGATAATGAAAAGGGAGTTCTTTTTACCTCAGCCATGAGAGGTTTGCATTTTCTCTGCTTTCGCGATGAGTTATCAAAGTAACAGTTAGTTGACAATAAGAAAAGATCAACGTTGTCGTGTGAGTTTTTGTCGTGAGCAAACTGGGCTCCGAGTTCGTCAACATCAAATTGGTAGCAGAGGATGGTTTTCTACTAGAGTGATCCACGATTAGTTGAGATGGAGCAACAAGGCTCCAACGAACCGCAGGAATCCAGGAGCGAGGCTCAACCGTCGGAGGTAGTTGCAGACGATACTGCAAGCACAGGGAGCTGCCGAGATCAAGACGCTGAGCAGACATCCGATGCGCCACCAACGCAAGGTGGGTTGGGTGATGTCGGTGAAGCAGGATCGAGCATCTGTGCGCTCCGAGCCAGGAAAACGCAGGACAAGAAGCAATTCACGAACATCCGACGAGGGCTGATAGTAAAAGCCCAGCGAGTGCAGATGCGATGCACGGACGATGAGAGCTATTTCGATGTCGAAAAAGAAATGAACGAGCTCGAAAGAGCATATGAGAGAGCGGAAGGGACGATCACAGATCTAGCTGGTTTATACGAAGCAGAGAGCAATGCGAGATAGAAGGATAAGATGATTAGTGAGCTAGAAGTACTCCAGAGGCAATTTGACAAAGCGACGGACTTGGCGTTTGAAATTGTAAGAACAACTCACGGCGTGCCAGTCGCCTCAGCTGAAACGCAGCAGTATACCGGTAATTCGCATCAACAGTGCCGCGATGAAGCCAGGGAAGTCGGTGGCTGGTGGCCAGGACATGTTTACAGCAATGAACTGTCCGCAGGACCACTTGGGTTTGAGTCACAACCGGGATTGCTGGCCAGATCGCTACAACAACGAGATATGAACAGGTCCGCCAGTGGAGATGCAACAAATGCAACTGATCAACAACTATGTTTTGACACGGATGACCGCACAGCAGTAACAGGGCACTCAATTTCAACAGCTACTGGTACTGGTGGTACCATCCCAGAGGTCACCAGCGCTGTCCAGTCCAACATTGGCCAGTATACAGATGGTTCTGCAACAGTGACCATGACAAGTGCCACTACATGTACCACAGTAAGTGTCAATGATGGTGTGAGTGTTCTTGCTAGGCCTGCTCCTGCAAACACAACTACCTCAGGCAGTACATCTAGTAGTGTTTCGGGGTAAACAAGTTAGTTGTTTACCATAGGATTATATTCTCACTTGGCCATTGTAGGCAAATCATAAGAACCACGACATCTAAAGGATGCTGCATGAAAGTAGGCAGCTGCGAGATGCGTATCTCGCGCATGCTCTTGCATGGCTACGTAATGCATTACATCATAATACAACATCCCCTTCGTCATAAAGGAGTTTAACAACCTACATAATATACCGTACGTATATGACGGCGTGTTCACAATATAGAACATAACATCCAACAATAGCTCTATGTACAAGGTAACAATCATGAATGGCACACGACGGCGTGCTAACAATACAGAGACATAGTATCCAACAATAGCTCTATGTACAATATAACAATGGCACCTCAGCTACTGTGACATAAGCGAACAGGTCCATGAGGCCTCTCTGGCCCTACACATCCAGGATTGACCTGGGTGCGACTGCGCGGCCAGACCGTGTTCGATACAGCTGGGTGGCAGGTTCAGCAGGCTGGCTAACGTCACACGGTGACGGCGGCTGAGACTGGCTAACGTCGCTCCACGGCGACGGCACGTCACTCGGCGGCTGAGGGCCTGCGAGACTGGCATCCGGCGGGAAGTGGACCCGCCTCTCTCTGAGGTGGGTACGGTTGCGCCGCACTTCTGTCCCATGGTCAGGCTGCACCATGTATGACCGTGGCCCGTTGACAGACTGGGTTACGATACCAGGTTCCCACAGGTGCGTGGTCGGGCTGCGGATGCCGACGTGCTGACCAGGAACTAGGGGGCGGAGAGACTGCGCTCGCTGGTCATGGTGTACTTTCTGCTGGTCCTGCCGTTCCTCGAGCTTCTGTCGGATGGCCTCGTCCCGAGTGTCGCGCTGGTGTTTGCGAGGCAGGTTGTCCTGTACCTGACGACCGAACAGCATCTCGGCCGGCGACGGTAAGCCCTGGCACACTGGGGTGGCGCGAATGCACAGCAGTGCTAAGTGCGGGTCGGTCCCGCTCTCCCTTGCCTTCTCGAGAGCTCTCTTAGCGATCTTGACTTGCGATTCGATAAACCCGTTACTCTGCGGGTGATGTGGCGACGACGTACTGTGGCGGAATCCATATTCGGCAGCAAACTCCGCGAACAGATGGCTGCTGTATTGCGGCCCGTTGTCCGACTTCAGCACGGCTGGGATGCCGTGCTCACCGAAAATCTCCTTGAGGTGCTGGATGATGGCCCTGCTGGTCGCTTGTCCGGCAGGCAGCTTCCGGGTGATAAAGTACTTGGAGTAGTAGTCGGCGGCAATGAGGTATTCTGACCCGCCGAGGTAGAACAGGTGCCTAAGGTGTGCCATGCCCTTGGCGGAATATCGGGCTGCATCAGTGGTTCCTTGGCTTGACTGCTCTGGTGGCGCTGGCACGTCGTGCAAGATGAGACAGTTGCTTCGATATCCTTGTTGATGTCCTTCCAGAAGACGGACGTTCTGGCTCGCAGCTTGGTCTTCTCTATGCCTTGGTGGCTGGCGTGCAGCTTGCTGAGGATTTCCCCCCTCATTGGCGGGGGAATCAGGACGCGACTGCTCTTCAGGATGATACCGTCCTCGGTGCTCATCTCGTCGCGGAAATTCCAGTACGGGAGCAGAATTGCCGGCACCGCGCTCCTCTCTGATGGCCAGCCACTGAAGATCATCTCCTTCAGTGCTGACATCTCGGCGTCTTTAGCCGACTCCTCGCGGATCCTCGTCATCGCTGCATCGCTGAATTGCGGGAACACGGCGTGTACACTGACGTCGAGGTCCTCAATTGGCTCTGTTTCCTCTGGCGACAGTCGGGATAGCGCGTCTGCGATCGGAATGTCCTTTCCGGGGCGGTACTTGATGGTCATGTCGTACGGCTGCAGCTTCAGCAGCATGCGCTGTAGACGCGGCGGGGCTGCGCGGAGGTGCTTGAGCTTGATTGACTCCAGCGGCTTGTGGTCGGATTCTACTGTGAATGACTGACCGAATAGGTAGGTGTGGAATCTTTCACACCCGTATACGACAGCTAAGAGCTCACGCTCAATATTGGCGTAGCGAGACTCCGTCTCGGTAAGCTTCTTGCTGGCGAATGCAACAGGCTTGTCGTCCTGCAGCAGAGTGGCGCCGAGACCTTTCATGGAAGCGTCGACTTGTAGTGTCGTTGCCTTGCCTGGGTCAAAGTAACTGAGCGTTACTTCTGTCGAAATGGCGGCCTTGACCTTGTCGAAGGTGCGCTGGTGGCTGTCTGTCCAGGCGAACGGTGTATCTGGCTTGGTCAGCTCACGCAGGTGCGCGGTCAGTGTGCTGGCATTCGGTATGAACGGGCTCATGTACGTGACTAGCCCGAGGAACGTCTGGAGCTCGTCCTCGTTCTCGGGGTGCTCCATCTGCTTCAGCGCTGAGACCTTCTTCGGGTCGGGCTGTATTCCGTCAGCGCTGCAGATGATGCCGAAGAACTTGATCTTGTCCTCTTTGATGCGGCATTTGTCTGGGTTCAACTTGAGACCAGATTGTTCGCAGCGAACCATCATCTGGTGCATGTTGAGATCATGGTCCTCGTCTGACGTCCCGTATGTGACGATGTCGTCTGCGATGCCGGTGACGCCTGAGCACCCTTCGAACGTCTGGTCGATCCTTGCTTGGAAGACATCTTGCGACATCTTGAGGCCGAATGGCATGCGAAGAAATCTGTAGCGCCCGAATGGTGTGTTGAAGGTGGTGAGGTAACTGGATTCGTCGTCGAGCTCCACATTCCAGTACCCACATTTGACGTCGACGATCGAGAACACTTTGGCACCTCTCAACTTCGGGGTGATCTCCTCAATGGTGGAGACCACGTGGTGCTCTCGCAGGATGGCCTGATTGAGGTCCTTGGGGTCTAGGCACAGGCGTAGCTTGCCATTGTCTTTGAGGCGGAACACGAGGCTGTTCACCCATGCTGTTGGTTCGCCTTCCTGGATCTTGGTGATGATGCCGTTCTGGATCATGTCCTCCAGCTCCGTCTTGATCTCGTCTCTCAGTGCGATGGCGTGGAGGTGGCGTGGAGGGTGTACAACCGGGACGACGTTGGGGTCCACTGTGATGTGGTACTTGCCTGGGAATTTCCCAATGCCATCGAAGCACTTCGGGTATTGCTTCATCAGGTCGTCCTTGTCTCGGATGCTCGCTGGCTTCTCCTGGACAGCGCAGTTCAGCGTGACTAACTGCAGGACTGTCGCTGTCGGGAGGCCGATGATAGCAGTGCCAGGGCAGTCCGTGATGTAGAAGTCAGCGAGTTGACTCTTGCCATCGTAAGAGCACGGAATAGGACGGGTTCCGCATTGCTTTATCTTGGATCCGCCGTACGCTGTGAGGGTGGTACTTGACGGCTTCACGGACTTCGGCTTTGGGTATCCGTTTGGTCCGACGTGCTGGGGAAACATTTGGCAGAACACTCTCAGCGGCAATATATTGCCCTGGGCGCCCGTATCCACCTTGGCTCTCAAGGTGGCCGGTCTGTTGGTGTTGTCCAGGCTGACATTGAGGGTCGCGAACACCTCTCGCTCTAGTGGCGGTTGGTGACGCTCGACGCTGTCGATGATGACGGCGTCGAAATGCAGTGCGTCGAAGCGTCTCCGTGGGCTGGGGCTCCTCTGGGGGTAGCGCTCCCGCGGGCTGGGGCTCCTCTGGCGCCAGCGTCCGCGTTGCTGGCCCCTTCCATGTGCCTCGTCTCTCCCCTGCGAACGGCATACGTTTGCCCAGTGATTCGCCTTCCCGCATTTGTTGCAGGTGGAGCCGTGCGCTGGGCACTTGCTTGGGTGGTGGGTTCGTCCACATTTGCCGCAGTCTGCGTGTCCCACAGATTTGGAAATGGCGTGAACCGTTTCAGGTAGACGGCTGCTGCTGGTGGCGGTGGACAGCTGCTCCATGTGGCGCTGTGTTGCTTCATAAGTACGGGCCTTGTCAAGCGCTTCGTCCAGAGTCAAATCACTACCACCCTCCAGCAGGCGTTCTTGCACTTTCGAGTGCTTCGTCCCCACGATTAGCTGTTCTATCAGGCGATCGTTAGTCTCCTGAGCGTCCCTGAACTTGCACTTGGACGTCTTCTTCTTACACCTCGCAAAGAAATCATCTACAGACTCGTCGGGTTGCTGGCGGTATTTCTGAAGCTCAAACCGAGCCAGTCGTGCATTTACCCGTGGCTGCAAATGCTTATTAAATTTCTTGAAGACGGCAGCTACTTTGGATTTGTCGCTTGCATTATCCCACTCGAAACTATTGAAAGCATCAACACCAGTTCTCCCGATCCATAGCATGACATAGGCGACCTTTTCCTTGTCGGACTTGTCGGAAAAGGGCCCTTGGAAAACTAGAAGGCAGTATTGTTGGAACCGCTCGAATTCATCAGGTAAATCTGCGGCTTGCCAATCCATCGACGGCGGGGTAAATCCGGCTGCTTCTGCCATTTTACCTCTTGCACCGGTGGCGCTACTGCGACAATTCTAGGGCGTTTATTTAGTTTACTTCTGACACCATGTTTCGGGGTAAACAAGTTAGTTGTTTACCATAGGATTATATTCTCACTTGGCCATTGTAGGCAAATCATAAGAACCACGACATCTAAAGGATGCTGCATGAAAGTAGGCAGCTGCGAGATGCGTATCTCGCGCATGCTCTTGCATGGCTACGTAATGCATTACATCATAATACAACAGTAGTAGTTCTAAGGTTACTGGTCCTACATTACCCTTGGACAGTAGCAATGTTCTGCCAAGCAATTCTGTACCCTCAACCAGTACGCATAGTGTGAATACTGCAGTGTCTACTAAGTACAGTGTTCGTACACAGGCTAATCCACACTCTTTCAGAAAACCTCCAGTGTCAATGGCAATGCCCCAGTCAGGTATCCAGTGGCAGGCACCGCCTGTGAGCACAATGCCAATGGCTTCTACAGGTACTAATGTATATTGACATACTCACCAACCACAGATGCCCCAGTCAGGTATCCAGTGGCAGACACCGCCTGTGAGCACAATGTCAATGGCTTCTACAGGTACAAATGTATATGGGCATACTCACCAACCACAGATGTCTTCCGGGTACATGCAACAGCCAATGGTTTATGCAACACCATCCAATATTGGAAATCAAATGTATGCAACAGGGCTACCTCAAATGCAACAAAACCAGGCTCGTGCAGAGCCATGGAAGCAGCTACAACGAGTTGCCGATATTCAGCGGTGACAAACGTACGTATGAGTCACTCCGAGAAGCTTTCATGGCATGTGTAGATAGTGCACCCGCCACCCCTCAGTACAAGCTGTTGCAATTGAGGCAGTATTTGGCAGGAGACGCACTGACAGCCATCGAGCGATTTGGCTACTCACCATCAGCCTATGACGCAGCTAAGAAGTTGCTAGAGCGCAAGTATGGCGGTGAGCGTCGCCGTGTGGCTCTACATATTGAACAGATCAATAGTATGTCCGTAGTGAGAGCCAACCGACCGAAAGAGATGGAGCACTTTGCCGAGCTGCTTGCCGTGGCTGTAGTCAACATGAAAGATTCAGGTCGAGCCATGGAATTGGGCCATGGCACATTCTACCTCAGTCTGTTGAGGAAGCTAGATGAACGTAACCTCGCCCAATACCACCGGTGGCGACATGATAAATCTCAGCCAGAGACAGTTGAAGTACTTCTCGAGTGGGTGAACCTGGAGGCAGAGTTCTTGGTAGTAGCGTCAGAAACCGTGAGCGGATTCAGTGGCAACGCGGCAGCTCAGCCACAGCCAGCTCAATCAGCCAGTGTGCATAGACGACAGTTCACCAGCCGGACACCGCCAATGTTCAAGAATACGGCGCGTACATTCGCGAATGCTGGTATACCAGCCAACCGAGATTGCCCGGCATGTAATGGACCGCATCCACTGTGGAAGTGTGCGGAGTTCAAGTTTTACAGTGTCGGATAACGGTGGCAAGTAGCAAAGCAAGCCAATGTCTGTTTCAGATGCTTGTCATATGGTCACACTGCTCAAAGACGTACACCTGCGGCATTGACGGTTGCAAGGACACCCATCATCGGACCTTGCACGACTCCAACAGACAAGGCTCTTGTAATGCTGTTAGTATCAATCAGACATCTGCTCCAGCAGATAGCAGCAAGCCACGTAGTAACCGCACCAGCAAGTCCTCACCGAGTAGCGACAAGGCCTCTAGCAAGGCAGACAACAAGGTGCATGGAACGGCATTGTCTGTCAGGGAAGGGGAGTGCAACAAACCAAGTACCACAACTACACCAGTGTCCTTTAGAACTGTTCCAGTGATACTACGCAACGCCAACAGACAAGTGGTTGTGAATGCTATTCTCGACGACGGGAGTATGATGTCATATATAAATGCTGATGTAGCCTCTGAATTAGGGTTACAGGGTCATACTGAGAAGGTGACAATCAGCACGCTCAATGGACGGCAGGAAACATTCTCCACTACTCCTGTCTCCGTGAACATCTCCGGCCTGGACGTGAGACAGCTCGAATAGAAGCAAGAACAATGCGACGAGTTGTGGGAGACCTCCACGCAATTCCATGGAGCTATGAAGCCGAGACCTCTGGTCGGCGGAGCTTAATGGGCCCCACCACCACACTCCATCATTCACCCCAGTGTCTGGAGATATGTGGATTTTGTAGAAAAAAAAAGAAAAAAAAATTGACTGGCGTCAACATGGCCCAAAATGGAAACACTTGAAGGGCATCCAGTTTCCAGCCATTAACGACAATCGAGGCGTAGATCTCCTCATTGGCAATGATCATGCTAACCTGCACGAATCGCTGAGGGACATTCGTGGGTAACCAGGTGAGCCGATTGCCCGTCTAACACCACTGGGCTGGACTTGTGTTGGACCAACGGCAACAACGTTACATGCACATACCGCCATCACTCTGTACGCGGGTGACAGGCACGAAATGGAAGCCGACACTCTCCTCCGACAGTTCTGGGAGCTCGAAAAAACCGACTCGGATTTGGAAACCGCATTCAGTCCAGATGATCAGACCATCGTGGATGCAACTGTCAAATCAATGGTGAAGAACGACCAGGGACATCAAGTAAGTGTGCCGTGGCGTAAAGACGGCCCACAACCACCCAACAACCAAGAGATGACGATGCAGCGACTCCGTAGCACCGAACGGCGTTTAGCAAAGCAACCAGATGTAGCAGCATCATACGACAAAATCATTCAACAGTACTTGGAAAAAGGGTACGTTCGACTAGTCTTACCAGGCGAGCCCCCTCTACCATCCAAATGGCTGCTACCACACTTCCCAGTACTCAGACCGGACAAGAGTACTACCAAGGTGCGTATCATGTTTGATGCATCTGCTCGCCTTAATGGAGTCTCGCTGAATGATACGATACATCAGGGTCGTAAGCTGCAACAGGATCTAGCGAAAGTACTACTTCGCTTCCGCAAGAATCCGATCGCAGTGGCCTGTGATATCAGTGAGATGTATCTCCAAATTCATCTTGCTGAAGAGGATCGTCCGTACCACCGATTTCTGTGGCGCAGTGACCCAGGGTGGGACAATGAACCAGACGAGTATGAATTCACCAGAGTCGTGTTCGGTGTTAATTGCTCACCATTCCTCGCACAGCTGGTCACCCAGGAGCACGCTAAGGCAAACAGTAGCAAATGGCCGCAAGCAGCTGAGACCGTCCTTCAGTCGACATACATGGATGACAGTCTGGATTCAGCACCATCAGTTGCAGATGCAATCAGCCTCTATCGACAACATTCAGATCTGTGGAGTGACACTGGAATGGTTGCTCGCAAGCGGATCTCCAATTCAAAGGAAGTACTAGAGCAGACACCAGCAACAGACTGAGCACTGCAAGTCGACCTCAGTAAAAGTGATTTGCCCTCAGTGAAGACGCTAGGAGTGCAATACGATGCAACTAGTGACGCCTTCTCGTTCAAGCTCTCACCTCTACCAGAAACATTTCAGTACACAAAGCGGAATGTGCTGAAGCGAGTGCCGACAATATTCGATCCCTTGGATCTTCTGGCTCCTCTGACAATCCGAGCCAAGATGTTGCTGCAAGATATGTGGGCAGACGGTGTCGCTTGGGATGATCCATTGGACCCGCAGCTGTGCCAAGCTGTCCGGCAGTGGTTTGAGGAACTCCCACTGCTTGCATCAGTCGCCATTCCGCGGTGTCTCCAGCCACCGGATCAGCCGGTAGCTTCAAACGTCCAATGCCACATCTTCGCTGACGCTTCAGAAAAGGCGTATGGAGCAGTTGCCTACTACCGAGTGCAGGGCAGTACAGATGAAGTAACGTCACGATTGATTGCAGCGAAATCGAGAGTAGCCCCTCTGTCAACAACTAGCATCCCGCGCCTGGAGTTACAAGCAGCAGTGGTTGCGACACAGCTGGCTAGGCAGATCGCCAACGCATTGGCACTACCGAAGTCAGCCCTGGTGTTCTGGACGGATCCATGGCCAAAGCAAGAGGTATAAAACGTTCGTGGCCAACCGAGTCAGCGAAATACAAGGGTTCTCGGAACCAGCTCAATGGCATCATGTACCAACCGAGCAAAACCCAGCTGACAAGATATCACGAGGGTGTTCAGTGCAACAAGTAGATGACAGCATGTGGTGGAATGGTCCATCATATCTACTACAGGATGCTACAACTTGGCCACAGCGGGTGGAGACCAAGGTCAATGTCGAGACGATGCGCAAGGAAGAGAAGAAAGAACAACATCAGACCAACACAATTACAAGCCTGTTTCAGACAGCGGCCGACAATGACAAGACGACAGGCCCTAGCAACCATCAACAGCAGCAATGGCGGCTTGACCCCGAGCGCTTCGGATCATGGAGCCGACTACTCCGCACGAGGGCGTTAGTGAGACGCTTCGTGACCAATAGTCGTACAATCAAGTCCGACAGAATAACAGGTCCGCTCTCATCAGCAGAGATCAGTGATGCAGAGACCGAGGTTTTGAAGATGGGCCAACATGATGCCTTCTCGGACGAGATTAAGGTGCTCGGCCAGAGAAAAGTGGTGTCGGCAAGAAGCGAATTAAGCCCCATGAACCCAATGATCGATGACAACGGTGTACTGCGCTGTCAAGGAAGACTGGCATATGCAGAGTACCTGCCAGAGGATACAGTGCACCCAATCATCTTACCGCGTCATCATCCCGTCACCCAGCTCATCATTCGGCACTATCATGAGTTAGCTCAGCATGTGGGAGGCACTAACCACATCCTCGCTAATATCAGTGCGCGATTCTGGATCAATGCCGCCAGGGAAGCAATTCGTGAGATGGAACGGAAGTGTCCGAGATGCAAGCTGCTGAAGGCCAAGCCTGCACATCAGATAATGGCTCCACTTCCACGCACCAGGATCACACCATCTGTCATGTCCTGGACATGGCCCATATGTATGTAGTGCGCATGCTCGCACGTGAGCTTGGTCTTTTTCGGATATGGAGTTTGAGATGTACTGAAATCTGTAATGGCCTCGAGTGTGTGTGTGATCGAGCTGGATGAGTCCGAGTAAAACCCACCGGGGGGAGGACACAACAACTGGCGACGAAGATATGGCTCGGATATCATCGCTTCAGCCTTTTACCGGCGACTACTTTCAAGAGTTTGAAGAAAGACTTGAATACTATTTTTTTGCCAATGATATTGGAACCGTGGCTGCTTCGGCCAATGCTGCAGAGAAGTTGGCTGCCAGCAAGAATAGGAAGGCTGTATTAGTGAGTTTGCTGTCTGCGGAAGCCTACTCGATTTTGAGGAGCCTCTGTTTGCCAGTGAAAGTAGCTGACAAGAAACTGTCGGAGACTTGCGATCTTTTGAGGAAGTATTTTCAACCTGCAACTTCGCAAGTTTCGGCGACGTTCAATTTTCATCAGTTGAAGCAGAAGGAAAATGAGTCGACTGCGTATTTCATCATTCGTCTGAAGAGATTGGCTGTGAGGTGTGAGTTTGCTGATCACCTCGATCGAGCGCTTCGAGACCAGTTTATTGCTGGCTTGAGCAGCTCATCCACTCGAAATTTCTTATTGACGAAAGAAGATACTTCGGCACAGTCGTTCAATGACATCGTCAAACTAGCTTTGACGCAGGAATCGGCTGCGCGCGCGGCCGTGCAGCTGACCTCTCAGCAGGAAGTGCACAAGGTGAATCACCGGCCAGTGGAAACGCGTTCGCAGGCGCAGTCTGGTGTTTCTCGTCAATCTCATCAATCTCGAGAGCAGAGATTGTGCTACCGCTGTGGGTCTACTCAACACTTGGCGGATAAGTGCAAACACAAGGCCACTGAGTGTCGTCACTGCCACAGGAAGGGCACTTGGAGCGTGTTTGTCGGCAGAAATCCACGTCAGGCGCGTCGGTGCACAATGTTGTGACTGATGACGCAGGTGAGCATGAATCTCTTGATCTTGAGTGCATGCCAATGTTCCACATTTCGGATCAGGGCGAATTGAAGAGCAAATCTGTGCCCTCCTACAAATTGGAAATTGCTGTGAATGATGTTCCTGTTGTAATGGAAATCGACACGGGCAGTGGCATTTCAATCATTTCTGTCCATGATTTTGAGTTACTTGGGGTGTCTCGTACAAATTTAACCAAACCGAGTGTATGCATGACCGTTTTTTCTGGGGCAGAAATCAAATGTATTGGTGAAGGGAAGTTCAATGTCAGCATTGATGGTGTGGAGAAACCAACACTACTCCGTGTAAAAGAGTTGGTGGACAAGCCGTTGATTATTCACTCTCATTGTAATATCAAAAAGTATTCTTTCTAGACCAAAGAGTGGTATATTTGATAACATTTAATAACGATAGAAATTTTTACGATACTTCTCCAGACGTTTCGTTGTTCTGAACAACATCGTCAGTGGATAAAGAATGGAGGGCTTTGGGTGGAAAACCAAAGCCCTCCATTCTTTATCCACTGACAATGTTGTTCAGAACAACGAAACGTCTGGAGAAGTATCGTAAAAATTTCTATCGTTATTAAATGTTATCAAATATACCACTCTTTGGTCTAGAAAGAATACTTTTTGATACTACTCCGTGTGGTGGATAATGGTGGTCCGTCATTGTTGGGCAGGGATATGTTGTCCCAATTTACTCTACCGTGGAAACAGATTGTCAATGTCAATCATGTTCAAATGGATGGTAGGAGGAGAGCTCTCATTGAGGAATTTGAGGAGCTGTTCGATACGACTCAGGTTGGCAAGCTGAGGTCGGCTCAAATCACCCTGAGAGTGGATGATTCTGATCCAATTTTCCACAAGGCGCGTCCTGTACCGTTCTCTATCACGGAGAAGTACGAGGAGGCTTTGGAGAAATTGGAAGCAGAGGGAGTTATTCGCAAAGTTGAGCACTCCAAATGGGCATCGCCTACTGTGCCAGTACTGAAATCGGATGGTAGTATCCGAATTTGTGCTGATTACTCTCGCTCAATCAATGCCAAGTCTGATTTGGAGCACTACCCGCTACCTACTATTGAGGAAATGTTAGCGAAATTGTCGGGGGGAGATAAATTCACCAAATTGGATCTCTCCCAAGCCTATCACCAACTGGAGCTTGATCCAGCTTCTCGGCCGTACACGACAATCTCTACTCCCAAGGGGTTGTATGAATACGTGAGATTGCCGTTTGGCATTCACTCGGCAGTGGCAATTTTCCAACGCACAATGGAATCCATATTGGCAGATCTGCCTGGGTGCATCGTCTATGTGGATGACATCCTGATTACTGGGAAGGATGAGGATGAACACCACAACAACCTGATCAGGGTACTACGTCGCCTACAGGAGGTCGGGATGAAGCTTAATCCCAGTAAGTTTCATTTCATGATGGATGAGATTTCCTACCTGGGTCACACGATTTCTAGTGCTGGTGTGGCTCCCACAGCGGATAAGATTGAGGCAATGCGGGACGCTAAGGCTCCTTCGAATGTTTACGAGCTTCAATCATTCATTGGAACGGCGAATTTCTTGCGACGGTTCATACCTCATTTCGCAACAATAATGGTACCTCTGTACAATCTGGTAAAGAAATCTGCTGAATGGCAATGGGAGGAAAATGAGCAGAATGCATTTTCTCGAATCAAGGCTGCACTGTGTTGCAGTGAAGTACTCATTCACTATTCCTCGGAGGAAGATCTGATCCTTCAAACGGATGCTTCGGGCATTGGTCTCGGTGCGGTAATGTTTCAAAAGGACGAATCGGGCGAGCTTCGTCCTGTAGCGTACGGGTCTCGTGTTCTCTCGTCGGCGGAGAAGAACTACTCCAATATCGAACGGGAGGCGTTGGCGTTGGTGTTTGGAGTTACCAAATTAAGTCAATATCTGTTGGGACGGACGTTCATGCTGAGAACGGATCATCAGCCATTACTCAAATTGTTCGGCTGCACAGAGAAAGTGTCTACTCTGGTATCTTCGAGGCTGAAAAAATGGAAGATGGTTTTGTCGGCATACAACTACTCAATGGAGTACGTTCCGGGCAGAAAGAATGTATTTGCGGACTATTTGTCGCGCAAGCCAATGAGAGGCGATCCTACTCGTGATGAAATGGTTGAACAACAGGTGTTGTTTGTTCAAGAAGAATCTGAAATCATCAGGGCTGCTACTGTAGCGGCGGAAACGAAACGGGATGTCGTCCTGAAGAAGGTACTCCATTTCACGATTAATGGTTTGGAGGAAGTGTCAGAGCCAGAGCTCTTTCCTTACTTCGCTAAACGGTGGGAACTGTCAGTGGAGGACAACATCCTTTTATGGAATGGAAGGGTGGTCATGCCTGACTCCCTGAGAGTAATCCTACTCAACGACCTACACTCAGAACACTCTGGGGTAGTGAGAATGAAACGGTTGGCTCGGAGATACGTTTGGTGGCCAAAAATCGACGAAGATATCGAGTCGACGGTCAAGCAGTGTGCCCTATGTCAACTCAATCCCAAGAATCCCCCGAAAGAGTTTGCAACTTGGACATGGCCGGCAGGACCGTGGCAGAGACTGCATCTCGACTTTGCAGGACCGTTTCTCGGCACAATGTTCCTGGTATTGGTGGATGCGTACTCCAAGTACATTGACGTTATTCCGTCGTCCCATGCTACGTCAGGGTCAACAATAATGGCTTTGCAACGCGTGTTTGCTATTTTCGGCCTGCCAAACCATATCGTCACGGATAATGGGTCACAGTTCACAAGCGACGAATTTCAAACTTTCTTGCGGAAGAATGGAATTCATCACATGTGTACCGCTCCTGGCCATCCGGCCACCAATGGAATGGCAGAACGGTACGTGGGGTTTTTCAAGAGCAAAATGAAAGTCATGGATGAGGAACCAGAGCAACTTCACTCTAAGTTGCTGAGGTTTTTGCTCTCGCATCGTACTACCCCACAGGCGAATGGAAAAACACCGGCCGAGATGTTGATGGGGCGACAACCTCGCATCAAATATGATCGTTTGAAAATGGAAGGGCGTAAGGGCGTGGAGGTTTACGAGAACAATATGGAGCACATGCCGGAATTTCAGTGCGGCCAAGCTGTCCTGGCTTTGAATTTCGGCAAAGGAGGAGATAAGTGGGCCCCAGCCGTGGTCACGGCTGTTCTCAGTCCGATGACGTATCAGATACAAGTCGGTGATGCAATGTGGAAACGCCATCGCAACCAGCTCCGTCCTCGGCAAATCCCTCAGTTCGATGCAGGGGTGTCTGAGCAGAGTGGAGCAAGGTTAACAGCTCAGGTTCCGTCACAGCCGTCAATCAGCAACAACGACGCCAGTGTCACGGCAGCGGAGCTAGACGCGCCGGTCTCAGCAACAACCGGTACTAGTGAGTCTGCGTCGGTTAGCACTTCACGTGCCAGCTACAGCAAGACGTCGTCACCGCAAGTTGAACGACGGTCAACCCGCGCTACTGTTTGACCAGTTCGTTTCAAGGATTGACGTTCAGAACACACAGTTCATATAGACCTATTCTAGTCTGTGGAGTTTAAATGATATATTGTGGACTCTGCTGGATATTGTATATAATTATATATTTATGGTGTATATATGGTGTATAGTGTATCATGAAATATTATGTCTCGGCAGTTGTGAGTTTTGAGATTGCATGTTGATATGTTTACTATTGCATAGTTCTAGATGCTTCGCCACAACTAGTGAGGGGGAAATTGTCATGTCCTGGACATGGACCATATGTATGTAGTGCGCATGCTCGCACGTGAGCTTGGTCTTTTTCGGATATGGAGTTTGAGATGTACTGAAATCTGTAATGGCCTCGAGTGTGTGTGTGATCGAGCTGGATGAGTCCGAGTAGAACCCACCTGGGGTAGGACACAACACCATCCTTCCGAGCTTTCGCAAGAACCGGAGTAGATTTTGCCGGTCCATTTGAAACGGTCCAAGGGCGTGGCAGAAAGAGGCAGAAGCACTATCTATGTCTGTTTACCTGTCTCGCTACACGCGCAGTGCATTTGGAGCTTGCCTATGGACTCGACACAAACTCATTCCTCAACGCCTTCTAGAGATTCGTCGGACGCCGTGGTCTACCACAGCATATGTTATCAGACAACGGAACCAACTTTGTTGGCGCGAAGAGAGAGCTTCAGGAGTTACACGATGCTTTGGATCAAGATAGCATAGTACGGACGACCGCCGATCAGGGCATTCATTGGCAGTTCAATCCACCAGCCGCTCCACACTTCGGAGGATCGTTCGAGGTGATGGTCCGAGCTGCCAGACGTGCTATCTACGTCATACTTGGAAATGCTGAGACAACAGACGAAGAATTGACAAGTGAATTGGTTGGTGCAGAAAGCCTAATCAACTCGAGGCCCCTGACCTATCAGTCAAGCCATACGCTAGATGAGACGCCACTCACACCCAATCATTTCCTGTTCGGCCAGATGGGAGGTGTGTTTGCTCCATCAACAGTCGACCACACGAGCTTCAATCCTCAACGACGGTGGCGACGAGTACAAGAACCGGTGCGCCACTTCTGGGAGAGATGGATCAAGGAGTGGCTACCAAGCCTGAGCGCCAGACAGAAGTGGAAGAATCCTCAAAGTGAAGTTCAAGTTGGTGATGTCATGCTACTTCTGTCACCCGATACACCACGAGGGCACTGGCCATTAGCACGAGTGCTGGAAACGTATCCAGGCCGAGACGGTCACGTACGAGTAGCGAAGGTGAAGGTTGGTGCGAAGACCTTTGTGCGACCTATTGCAAGGTTGTGCCCATTGGAAGCCACACCAGAGTGAGTAACACTGTGAACTGTAGTATGCGACACATGCAAGTGAAGTCATCGCAGTGACACATAATTGCCATTCAGTGTATCACGAGTTAGATTCTTAGTTATCTGTGTGATAGTAGTAGTTCTATTATGATGCAATTTGTATTGCATAGATCTCCTTCATGGCACACTTTCGATATGAGATATCGAGGAAGGGGAGAATTGATAAGAAGAGCCTCTATTTAGCACTTAGTTCTGCTTCTTTTGGTGCGTGACGATCATTGTTCTACTATGCAACAATTGCACGTGTATTATGTCCGTGTTGCAAGCTTTGTACGCTGCTCGTGTATAGTAGTTACATTTATCGATAGCAATAGTTGCTGCTCCTTCCCCCTCCGTAGCGTAGTGTATGTAGTGTTATCTTGTATGGGTGTGTGTACCCATTGTGTATGCTTGTTCTCTTATTTGTACTCTTCTCTTTATAGATCTAGACTATCCGTTACGGTATCCCTTTGATGATTCATCCCATATCTAGATGTGTCATGCACAGTAGCGTACCCTCAAGTACTCTACTAGATCCCGATATGGAGTACCCGCGACTGCCTTGCTCTATTATGTTTTTCTTTCACTACGATTTGTGTTCTTGCACTGATAATGAAAAGGGAGTTCTTTTTACCTCAGCCATGAGAGGTTTGCATTTTCTCTGCTTTCGCGATGAGTTATCAAAGTTAGTTGACAATATTATTATTATTATTATTATTATGACGGATAACCCAAAGGCAATGGTACCTAAATCAGGGGGTGGCTCCGGACCAAACACAGAGCAAGGAGCTCAGCCAGCAGAAAACGTCAGAAAACAAATAAACAAAAACAATAAGAAAAGATCAACATTGTCGTGTGAGTTTTTGTCGTGAGCAAACTGGGCTCCGGGTTCGTCAACATCAGCCACTGTGGCCAATGCCTGGGTTGGCCAATGCCTGGGTTGGCCAATGCCTGGGTTGGCCAAAGCCTGGGTTGGCCAAAGCCTGGGTTGGCCAATGCCTGGGTACGGCTGTTACGACAGTACAAAACGGGCCCACTTGGTTTTTGTACAGGAGATGGCGCTTCCCGGGACTTTCCCGTTCTCAACGTTCAAAATTTGTACTCAAGGAGGTGTATTTTGAACGCAATCTCTGCTCAGTTGGGTCTCCAAAGCACCACTTCTGATCACCGTGTCGAGCTGTCCTCGCGGCTACAGTTGCGCAACATCCTGACCATGCTTCGCCAAAGAAAAAAGTAGTGAATTTGAGCTTTCCTTCGCTGAGAAAAGCCATTCATGGAAATTTGTCTCTGAAGTTGTTGCCGTTCGATCGTTCTAGTCACCGAAGTTTGTTGCCTCCTTGAGGTGCTCAACGAGTTTTCGTCACGTCAAGGGTAGTTTTGCCGAGGAGAAGAGTATCTGTGTAGCTGTTTTTTGTTACTGCTGGGGCACCGCTGATTCCTTGTTGGCCCTGCTGGGTCCCCCAAATCTCTAGCAACATTTAGTGGAAATTGTTATTTATTCAGTGGATTTGAAATGGAAAAACACCAAGAAAAGTTACAGCTGGTATGCAGGTTAGGCGGTGAAAAGTTGTGTAGTACTAGCCGTGGAACTCAGCACCTTGTGAGAGATCATGCGAAAGCCATTGAATCTGTGCTGAGTATTAATGTGTTGTGTGATGACCAAAAAAGCCATGCATATGAATATGCATGTAGCTCCAGCCTCATCCAGTCTGCATTTAGACGATGCAACAATTGGCATGGATATTCCCCTGATGAAACTGTACGACATTGCATCACCGCCATACAAAGCAATTGCTGACTTGCTGCCGGAACGCTTTAATTTAAATACAGAGTTCGTTGCAGCAGGTGCCAACTTGCAGCACGCATGGCGGTACAACAACGTGATTAGAAAAGCCATTCTTCCTGTTAAGTTGCAAGACGTGTATATTCCTGTCCTCCACCTAGATCTAGGGATTTATCCCTGGATTTACGGTGCACTTTGTGCTGACGCACATCAAATCGATATTGCACTGAGCAAATGTATGTTTCTTGCTGCAGATGACGGTGACTCTGCAGCGTTTACAGCACTTATCAAGGCCTACAAGAACGTACATGACACAGCAACACAACAACTACACCTACAGTCAGAAGCACGAAGCATTCTTAGTCAGCTGCAGTTTGTGACGCTACAAGAACGTACACGACACAGCAACACAACAACTACACCTACAGTCAGAAGCACAAAGCATTCTTAGGCAGCTGCAGTGTGTGACGCTGCACATTCAGCAGCAGGAAGTAGTGGCTGCTGGCTTGCAGACTGTGCCATCAAATCTGCACTTCCTATGGAAGGAGAAAGAAAAGGAACTCAATTTGATGAATGAGAGGTGATGTGGCTCGAAAAGAGCATGAGAAATTAACAGTAAAAGATTTAAAGAAAGCAGCTGGCCCGTGTGTAACTTCCTTGGAAGCAGTACTGCCACAGTACCAAATAAAGCGGCAAGCATATCACTCCGGAGCATTTGTCGGCAACCACATACACCGTGCGTTGAAACCGGATGTCATTGCTGCCCTCACTTCTGTTCCCCTTACAGTCGTGCAGAGCCGCACACCTGCGGACAGCTGCGAGGTTCAGCTGCTTGCCCAGGCAAAGTCCTTGAGAGATCGCTACTCGAGACTCTTCACAGAGTATGCAGCATGTTGCAAGCTGTTCAGCGGCAAGCTGGTTTTTACAACAGCAACAAGGCAGGTTCTGGGTGATGCCATCCACACCTTCATGGCCACCTGCAGAGCGGAGGTTCTGGCACGCAAGTTAGGCAATGTGACTCCTAAGCTTCACCTTCTCGAGTGCCATGTCCTTCCTTGTACAGGGTTGAAATTAATTCTTGCTGATCTGTTCGGTCACACACTCTGAGCTCCTCTGATGAGACCTAACAAGGTTGAAATTAATTCTTGCTGATCTGTTCGGCCACACACTCTGAGCTCTTCTGATGAGACCTAACAAGGTTGAAATTAATTCTTGCTGATCTGTTCGGCCACACACTCTGAGCTCCGCTGATGAGACCTAACAAGGTCGAAATTAATTCTTGCTGATCTGTTCGGCCACACACTGTGAACTCCGCTGATGAGACCGAACAAGGTCGAAACAGCTATAGCTGTCCGGAGATTGAGTATACTTGACAAAAAGTTCTCCTCCGATCCGAGGCGCAGGTCGTCATTCTGCGAAAGAGTCCTGCGAAGCACATCTCCTTTATCTGCTACTGAGCGGTATCCGTTGCACTTCGCGGAGCACAGCCGCCTCCAACAACATTTTTTGACGAGCAAGAGACTGAAGAGACGAAATCCATAAAAGTACTATTTCAAGTATTCGAAGTGACAGACCCTATTCTTTCTGCGGAAATGATCATGAAAATTTGAAAAATGCGATGAGCGTACCCACGCTTTCCGTTTGACCTCTGTTGCCAGGGGCGTTGCTACAGGTCGCCGCCATCTTGCCAAGTGACCTCCCCGTAACAGCCGTGCCGGGGGCCAGGCCATGGGTTGGCCAATGCCTGGGTTGGCCAATGCCTGGGTTGGCCAATGCCTGGGTTGGCCAATGCCTGGGTTTTGAGCGAAAACATTATACAGCTTTCAATTTTGGTTCAGCGAAGTTTGAAAGCTCCTTGGGCATAAG